ACACCGACCACTGCAACTATAAATATTTGAAGACACAACCAAACCTCTCCAGGCGGCAGGTCTGGTGGATTGACTTCCTCAAGACGCACTTCTACTATGACATCGTGTACAAGCCTGGCCACAAAGCAGATGCTCTCAGTCGGCCTGCACACGTTGCCGCAATCCAAGTCGAAGGGTTGAACCCACTTCTCAAAGGACTCTTCACACACGGGTACGCCATGGACCCGAAAATTCCTTTGGCAGCAAAACGGCACCTGCTACATTGGGACAGTGACATCGCATACCGGAAAGGATCAACGAAAATCTGGATACCCAATTACCCTCCTTTGTACCAGTTACTACTCGAAGAATACCACGATGTCCTATATGCGGGACACTTCCGTAGCAACAAAACGCTCACCGGTATTGCAAAGCACTACTACTGGCCCCATATGGCAGCCAACGTCCAACAATTCGTCACCTCGTGTGCTACTTGTCAGCGGATGAAGAGCAGCAAGCAGAAAAAAACAGGACTGCTGCATCCTCTTCCTGTCCCAGAACAACCATGGCAAGTGGTTTGCCTGGACTTCATAACCGGGTTACCCACTACCACTAGCAGTCATGACGCAATCCTCGTCGCCATCGACAAATTCTTCAAAATGGGACACTTCATCCCGACACACATGACAGCACGCACCGAAGAAACAGCACAACTATTCGTTCGCTACATCATCTCACAACATGGCATTCCGACCACACTCATCTCCGACCGAGACCCCTAGTTCACCAGCAAGTTCTAGAAGGAACTAATGTCTCTGCTCGGGACCAAACTCGCCATGTCATCCGCCTACCATCCGCAGACAGATGGACAGACCGAGTGCCTCAACCAAATTGTAGAGCAACTTCTCCGCGCAGCATGCAAAGACGAAATTTCTAAATTGAACTTACATCTGCCTGTCTTGGAGTTTGCCTACAACAACGCCACTCACACCGCTACTGGACAGACGCCGTTCTTCCGCTGCTATGGACGCCACCCGCTCACGCCACAAAAACCGACAGCATCAGCTACAGTTCAACCCGCACACGACTCCATCACAACCATGCATCAGCTTTGGGATCGGATCCACAAGCGCCTTCTCGACATTCAGCAGCAACAGAAGCGCCAGGCCGATCGTCACCGCACAGACCACACCATCACCGTGAAAGACCAAGTTCTACTCGACACCCGCAATATCAACATCAGTCATCTCCCATCCAAACTGCGACCTCGCTTCTGCGGGCCCTTTCTGGTTGAAGCACAGGTCACTCCTGTTACCTTCCGCTTATGCCTACCAGCTACCTGGAAGATTCACAACGCCTTCCATGTCCAACTTCTGAAGCCCTATTGAGACCCTAACACGGTCTTCACCGGATGCCAACCGCCGCCACTGCCGCCCGTCCTCGTCCAAGATGAACCCGAGTAGGAGGTCGAGTCTGTGCTCGCACACCTCCGTTGTCGGAATGGCACCGTGGAGCTTCTCATTCGTTGGAAGGGTTATGATCCTTTTGAGGACACTTGGGTTCCTGAATCCGAGATGGGTAACGCTCGTCGTCCTCTTCGCGAATACCTTGTTAAGTAGGGTGTTACTTCTACCACCCAGCTTTGATGGGGGGAAGTGTGAGAGTACGACCCCGTTACATCGATTTCCCTTTCCATGTCTCCTTTCTATTTCATTCCTCTTTTTCTCTCATCTCATTTGGTTTCCTAATTCTCCTATTCCATTATCCTTTGGTTTATCATGTTATTATAATTATATCACCGACCAGGCTCGGGATGTACTGGCGCGCTATATCTAGTGTAATCCTGCCGTAATCCCTTAAAGCCAATAGCTTCGCGTGGCTATATGCAGGGTGTTTCTATGTCTAGAAGGGTCTATTTCCTTTGGATATGATAAACCCGGTTACTTGATGTACTTTGGAAGTATAAAAGCGCCTTGTATCAATCGATAGTGCAACTTTTCCTCGACACATTCGATCCTGTGACATTGGGCCTCTCAGTGGACAGCTGCCGTGGACGCATAGATGCTGTCTTTGATATCCACCGGCACCTACGTCGACGCAGTTCCCCCACCTGGGGCGAATATAGTCGATGGTCGGTGGCTCTTCAATGTGAAGCGACTTCCAAGGTATCCGCTGGTGTTCAAGGCGCGCTACGTTGCTAGAGGCTTCAATCAGCGCGAGGGTGTTGAATTCTTTCAGACCTTCGCCTCGACCCTGAAGATGTCCACTCTTCGAGCGCTGCTTCACGTAGTAGCACATCGCGGCTACGAGCTGCACTCCCTCGACTTCTCCACAGAGTTTCTCCTTGGCAGTCTGCACGAACAGATCTACCTGCGACGTGTGCTAGGCTTCCTCCCCCAGTCGTTACACTTCTTTCCTCCCATCTTTCCCGCACTCCACATCGCCGTCACCCTTCATGATACCAAATCATTCGAGCTCCACCATTGTAAACCAATTCAGACCTCCATATGTTGATTGCATGCAAGAGTAAGAGGACATTAAAGAGCAAACAATTGTAAAAATGATCCGGCCCGCCTCTCATCTCAACAATCTGACTGAATTGGTCAGAAGTTCTCTTGTGCTCTACCCTACCATGTGCACCAAACTATTATATGGAATATCAAGAGTAGAGGCGCCGAGAAGACACGAGAGATAGCCGACAAGCCGTTCGAGCGCGTTAGGTACGGGACATAAACTTTTTGCTAATGTTAGACGCGTAGAAAGGTAGGGTAGTAACCTAAGGAACAGCCTTGATCATGATGGTTTGTCGGCTCGGGGCATATTTCGGGGCAAGCTGTTTGAGGCCATGATTCAACATTTTGGATGATCATATCTACCCCCGAAGTTGCCTAGAAGCCAGGTATCTATCTCCGAGCCTTGACAAGGCTTGGCAATTGGATGCATAAGGGCATAGTTAGACCGCGTGTCAGGCAGTTGGTACAGGTATGCCGAGCTGACCTGGTGTACAAGTCGACCTAACGGCCACTGCGCGACCCTTGACGCCAGGAGCACTGAAAGTGTCGCCATGTTGCACTAGCGAGGTCGCGTGCGATACAAGCGACTGTCACTGTGTACAACCACAACGAGAGGGAAAACGAGTTGCGCTGGGTGGCAAACTCGCTGACACGGGTTCTGAGAGCGGGAAATGTTGCCTTGTGCTTCGAACTACCCTGACACCAAGGTAGTATGTGCTTCCAAGTGTCAGGTAGGGCTGTACCGACTACCTGACACGCGGTCTAACTTTGCCCTAAGTGGATCTGAACACTTGGAACTTCAATCCCTGCATGTCGATATGCTGGGACTCGTGTCAGGCCACCTCGTGCTAGCTAGCGGGCATGGTGCTTTTCGCGGAAAATGAAACGTTCGAACACCAACCACTCTGCACCGTAGAGAAACTTATTATAATGCAAAAGCCGTCTAAAAAACCTCTAGAAATTTGAGCTAAGGCGTTTTCCGAACCTAAAGCACCCTGCCCTAAGATTCTGACATGTCAGCTTTTGCTCCCAAAGTAGGTGCATTATACAGAATCGTGTACCTGAGACGGAGTTTCAAAATCGACAGGAGCCCTAAAATGCGCCCTGAGAGACGCAACTGTGGTTGTCTTCTCGTCTGGGACGAACCACGTTTGTGGTTGTGCTTCGGCAGCTCATTGCTTCGGGAGGATTCCGTCGTTGGTGGTGGGGTCCAGCTCGTTGACCACGTGGCAGGGGAACACATCTACAGTACTCTACAGAATGAGGGTGGATAACTCGTGACTTCCGGTCAGGTAGCGAGTTCCCTACGTTCAAGCTCATTCGCGGATCAAGAGCAGAACCTGACCAGAGAAGGATCGTCGTGTGTAAACTCATGGTGAATTCGCGGGGGCAACCTTCTGCCACTCAAAACAACGCACGTCGGAGGCACCGACCAAGCTGCAATGTGCCCTAGTGGCTGTTCCTGATGATAAGCGTACTTAGGGATTGGTGCATTGAGTTTGGTTGTTTAGTAGTTTCGAGCTACGTAGCGGTTACATCAGTCGCGAACAGCGTTCGCCATTTTCGCGAGGGTGTCACAGCACTACCCCGAAATTCGAAACAGGTTTGGCGCGTAGCCGGCTCGAACAGCACATTCCACGCTGTTCGAAACATCCCGCCAAACCTCCAAAAGTCGGATTCGCGAATTTCGCGATACTGAAATAAAGTGTACGTCGTTACCACTGTCGCCAAGAACCCCACCCCCCCTTGACCTGACAGGTTAAGCAGCAGTCAACGCGTGCCCCCATTGTGTTTCGAGCACCCTATCTCACATTTGCGACGACTTGAATTTCGCAAAAATCGCGAAGCCTTGGATTTGCGATGCTGACGAACTCCGTTTCTGTCACCCTCGTAGTTTGAATGTCTTGGCTCGATGCTACGCCGCTTCCAGAAATTCACGAAATTCGAACTAAAAATGCGAAAAAACGCCAAACAAACTCAAAGCACCACTCCCTTATTCCATTTACTTGATTCACTTGACCTTTCCACAACTCCGTGGAGGTGAAGGGAGGCAAGGAGGTGGAGCATAACAATTTGCTTGTTGGATCCAGGCAGGGGGTAGCCCACCAAAAACCCCAAAGAGATGTGGAAAGCTCTAGAAGTACAGTAAGGGCAGGATGCTTGGAATATTAATTCCAGGGCACATCTCTGCGCGCTTATCACGCACTGTGTAGGGTTTCTTTCCCATCGAGCAGCGCAAGGTTTGCTTGCGATAGTCAGCCATGCTGGGCGCAGATAGCTTGTCAGATGGGCTCCGCCGATGGAGGTTTGGGCGGAAGTTTTCACTGTCGCGCACGGGATGAATGAAAGCTGCTCGCCAGGAGAGCCGTGGACAAGTTTGTCTCCGCGGAGCACCATCTGCTACTTGTCCACTGTTTGTCCGCTGCTGGGGTTTGCTGCTGAGCAGCTGATGGACGAGGAATCACGAAACCCTATACAGCAGCAGCCCTCCCATCCCACCAACTCCACCCCATTGCATAGCTCAGTATAAGCCCTATCAGCTCGACCACGTATCACAGCCTCTTTCGTTGTCCTTGTCAGCAGGAGATAAGATTCTGGGCCTTCGTTTTAGCCTGATCCAGCCCAACAATTGCCTATTCTTTCCTCCTCAATAGCATCGCTCGCCATTTATGGGCGTCATCGCTCCCGCTCGCGACCTGCGACCACCAGATGTCATCGTACGGCAGTACGGGTGCTATGGACTCGCTCGCCGCACGAATGAACCAGCATTGCGCTTGTTCTCCCATTGACAGCGGGAACGGGACTGAACTGTTTGAGACGGGAATTACGGCCCGTAGTTCGCGGGGTTTCAGTGCGGACGCCTACTACGCGGCGTTTGAGTGTCGGAGATTTTTAACTCCCTCGGAGCAACAACCGCGCATCATGACCGTGCACGAGACAGAGCGGAGCAGCTCGTTGGCCATCGACGGCCGCTCTCGACGAGCCGTGCATTGCGACTCAAGGTTCGCCGCTTATCCGTCCGTTAGCCGTGCAGCTGCTGCTCTTTGCTGCTGCAATCACCTCTCCGTCCCCGTCTGCTCAAGCAGTAGCCATCCCGTTCGCTTTTTTTAGCCGTGTATTTATTGCCACGAGCACGCGAGGCCCACGAAACGGGTTAGAAGTACTATTTTTTTCCGGATTAGAAATATTTTCTCTTGTTCCTGCCGTTCCTCTGTCCCCTCCTCCCCTGCAGCTCTCGCTGTCCACCGTCCACCAATAACAGCCGCCTCCACGTCGACCGCCCGCAACGAGAAAGCTGGACGAGCGACCACAGCTGGACGGCGGGTCTCCCGCACAGCCTCACTACTGAACGACGCCGCCGTCAGCCCTGCGAGGTGCGTATGAGCAAGTCGAGGTTGACGGACGTTGGCGTTGGCGTTGACTGCAAGCCCCGTCGAGGTTTTCTGACGGAGTTATCGGGAGCGAAGTTTTCGGGATCTGCGCAGTACTCGGTCGGTGCGAGTGGAGAAGCGCCGCGTCGGCCGTCCCGATGCGTCCGCCCACCCACCCCGCGCAGCACTGGTGCGCAGCACCGACGTGCACAGTCCTTGGAACCACTTCCAACGCGTTGACAGGACGCCCAAACATCTCCTGCTTTTTCAACATGGCTCCCGCTTCTCCGCCTACGGGCTTCTCCGCCCGCTTTCCCAAGCGGAGGCTCCGCTTTTCCGTTTCTCGGGTTGTCCTCTTCTCCACTCTCCGCTTCCATTTTTCTCCGCATCTCCGCGTCTCCGCTTCTCCACTTCTCCGCCTCGCTTCCTTCGACCTGCGAGCCCGGTCCCCACCCATGTCGTGTGCGTCCTGTGCCGCTCCCCCCTCGCAGGCCGTGTCTCCGCTCACTTCCCCCCGCGGCGATGTCGGCGGCGCGCCGCTCGCAGAAACGCCCCGAGCAGCGAAGGCGCAACGAGGGCAGCGCGCCGCGCACCACTGCACGAGCGCGGTTAACGCTCGCGCCGGGCCGGGGAGGGCAGAGTACGTCCGTTCCTGGCCCTGTAACACCGTGTTTTCCCGGTCGTTCTCGCACTAGCGCGAGTCGGGGTTAGGCTTTGGTGGACGTCTCAGCCGACGTTACGAGACACGTCGCTCCTAAGCCCTTCACCTCGCACGGTGGCCCGTCGCGCCTTGCTCCCACGCTGTCGTCGCTCGTGATTCATGTTTGCGCGCCGCGGTTATGTACTCATTTGGTGCACATCTGTGTCTGTGGGCGCGCGTGTGTGCGTGTGCGTGCGTGCGGGGACGTGTGCGCGTGTGTGTGCGTGTGCGTGTGTGGCGCCAGGTGCGGAGCAGCATGTGCCGTGGACCAGACAAGTGCATTCTCGCAGGGGTTAATCCCTACGAATGGATGGCCTCAGTGCGCAGAGTGCAGTGAAGCGAGGCCAAGGAGGCATGCTGCGCAGTCACGGCAGGCATTGCCTGAGAGGGCTGGCCGATGGGCGTGTGCCTGGCGCAGCAGCCCCCTGCGGTTGCGGGCTCTGGGCACCCTGCCTCTGGCACTGCGGACGGCACTCCTGCTGCTGCTGGTGCTGCTGGATTCTGGGTTCGCGTCACCGATTGGAGCATCACATGGTACCACTCTCTCTCTCCCTCTCTCTCTCTCTCTCTCTCTCTCTCTCTCTCTCTCTCTCTCTCTCTCTCTCTCTCTCTCTCACTCTCTCTCTCTCTCTCTCTCTCTCTCTCTCTCTCTCTCTCTCTCTCTCTCTCTCTCTCTCTCTCTCTCTCTCTCTCTCTCTCTCTCTCTCTCACTCTTTCTCCCCCTCTCTCGCTTTCACTCGCCCTGTCTCACACACTTTTTATCCCTCCATCCGTCTCCCCATGTCGCCAGGCCCAGGTGTCTCCTCGGCCGTGCGCATCAACTGCGGGGCGTCGGAGCACGTGACGGGAGGCGACGGCCGCGTGTGGGAGCCCGATGCCTTCTTCGCAGGCGGCGAGACAGCGCCTGTTCTCAACGCCACGCAGTTTGGCTTCCCCAAGGAGGTGCACTCGCAGCGCGCTTTCCACGCGCGCGACGTCAGCTGCTACGACATCCCCGTGGCCCCCGGCCGCTTCATCGTGCGCCTCGCCTTCGCCTTCCACAGCGACCAGCTGCCTGTGAAGACCTTTGAGTCTGTCTCGTCGGTGACGATTCAAGGAGGCCGCACTTACATTCCAAACGGCTTGACTGTCACGGCCTCGGCTGCTGTTTCCCGCGCCGCGGTGAGCAGTGACAGCGGGGCTTCGGCATATGCAGCTGGTGCAGCAGTTGCGGATTCCACTGCTCCTGGTCCTGCCGTTGCTGCTGCTGCTGCAGCAGCAGGGGCTGCGGGTGATTCTGAGGCAAGTCCTGCAGCCGTGGAGGGCCGCTTGCAGGATAACTTGCCATTCTCGTCCGCCCCCTGGAATGGCTCTCCGGGACCTTCTGGAGGCCAAGGAATGGCGGATATACCGCAGGGGGTGGGCGAGAGCGAGGAGGGGGGAATGATGAGTGAGCGCATGCAGAGGTGGTGGCCACGGTTTGCAGTGGTGGTGGAGGGCGTGCAGATGGAGACGGTGAGCATGGCGCAGCATGTGGGGACGGTGTATGTGCCCGAGTACATAGTGGACAGCGCCGACGCCTCGCTCACGCTCTGCTTCCTGCCCGTGTGGGGCCACGCGCTCGTCAACACCATCGAGGTGCTGCCAGTGCCCGCCTCCTTCTACCTCCTCCCGCCCATCGTCCCCCCCAACGCCTTCCTCGCCCTGCGCGCCCGCATCGACTGCGGGAGAGCGCCAACGAATGGCTCGGCAGGCAGCAACAGCAGTAGCACGGATGGCAGCACCAACAGGCTGGCTGCCAGCGGCGGTGCTGTACCGGCAGAGCCAGCGAGCGCCTCCACGTGGAGTTTCAACGCGTCCGTGGCATCGACAGAGCTTGTGCCCTTGCGCAATGGCACGAGGCTGGTGGATCCCCTAGGGCGACTGTGGTCCAGTGACCTCAACCAGATCGTGCAGACGCAGCAGGTGGGCAGCTCACCGGCAGCTGGAGAGCCAGCTCACGAAGCAGAGAGCGGCAAGCAGCGCGAGAAACAGTGGCGTGTGAAGCCGCCCAAATCTATCAGCACTGTCGTGCCAGTGAACGGTGACGGGGAATCCCCTTTTTTCCTATCGCAGGCGCTGTTGCAGACGTCACGGGAAGCGGTGCTGGCGAGTGGGCTGCACTACTCGTTTTCGTTCCGCATTCCTGCGCGGCTGAACCGGTGGGTGGTGCTGCTGCACTTTGTGGCGTTGCAGCCGGAGTCGCGCGTGGGGGAGCGAGTGTTTGACATCCACGTGAATGGAGTGACTGTGAGAGGCTTTGACATCCTCAGGGAGGCCAAGGGCCTCCACAACCGCCTCGTCACGCTGCCAGTTGTCGTCGGCTTCAGCCGCCCCGCCATTGGGTCCGCACCTACTCTGGAGGTGCAGCTGGTGGCCCGCAATGGCAGCAAGTTCAGCCCCCTGGTCAGCAGCATCGAGGTCATTGAAGTCGTGCGCGCCAATGTGCCCCGAGAAAACGTTATCTCAGGTAATGTGCCCTGCAAAGGCGTTGCCTATTGTGATTGGCCCCCTATATTTCTCCCTTGCTCTCTCGCTTGCCCATGCTTCTGCTCTCACTCTCCCGCTCATGCTCTTACACTCCCCTGCTCTCTCTCCCTCTCGCTGTGTGTGAATATGTCTCCACTCGCGTGCTGTATGTGTCATATGGATGCAGAGCTCAAAGCGCAGCAGAGTGGAGACCCGAAGGAAGCCCGTCCACCTGCCTCCTCTCACTCAAGCTATGCGGGTGTGGTGGCAGGGGCAATAGGCGGAGCAGGGGCCCTGGTGCTCCTTGTAATGCTGGTGCCCCTGGTGCTGCTGTGGCGGCGCCAGCATCGTCGCCGTCATGCCATGCGCTCTCAGCTACTAGGGCCTGGTGTCCTTGACTCAACAGCAGCAGAAATTGTAGATTTGGAGGTTAGAACTAGCGAAGAGTTGGGCCTTGTTGAGATTGTAGAAGAGATTTAGTTTTTATTTGATGTGTGTATATAGTCCATCATGCCTAAGCGTGTGTCATTGGTGGCAGACTGGCAGTAACGTCAGTGCGGTTTCATGAGGTGAGAAAAGAACAAGAATGACTGTTTCCTGTATGTTTGTTGGGCTGAGAAAAGCCCTTAGGATCTTTTCAGAGACTAAGTCCCACTCAGGGCTGACGTTTCAAAAAAAAGCAGCCTGAGCTGTCGAATGTGGAAAAAAAATTACCATGAGGGCCTAGTGTAGGAATTTTGACTTCCCTGATTTCTCAGTGTTCTGGAACTTACTATCAAAAATTGAAGAAGTGAATGATGTTAGAGAGAGGGTACACACATATATACCTAAGTGTTGTACCCTCTAAGAGGCTACCCTATACAGTCTATACAAACATGACAAATACACATGTTTGGCACTACTAGTCCAGCCACTGGGAGAGGACACAAGTCCAGTCTGAGTATACATATAAAGGACAGTACAAAGTCAAGGTCCTAGCAAGTTAGAGGCTACAGGAATTAGACCAAGCTGTACACAGTGCCGCTGATGATCTTTAGGCGCAAGCGCCTTCGTAAAGATATCAGCCGTGTTGGCACCTGAGGCCAAGTGTACTACGCGAGCCTGACGTCGCTGCTGTAGCTCACGCAGGAGGAAGTACCGCAGCTGAATGTGCTTCGCTCTGCCCTCGAGTCGAGGCTCCTGACACAGGAGGATCATGGCCCTGTTGTCAGCGAACAGGACCGGGGCAGAGCTAGGCCGCTCACCTAAGTCAGTGAGCAAGAAGGTCAACCAGCGGAGCTCCTGTGCCGCCATGGAACCAGCGTAGATCTCAGCCTCACAGCTGGACTGCGCAACAGACGAGGAGCGAGTAGTTCTCCACGAGACGGCACCTGAGCCAAGGCTGAAGCAGTAGCCCTGGGTAGACCTGAGTGTCTCAACGTCGTCTGCCCATGAATCGTCTGTGTGTCCAGTAAGGACCACTGGCCTGCGTCCTCCTAGCACTAACCCCATGCCCGATGTACTAGCAAGATAACGCAGAACCCTCTTAGCGGCAGACCAGTGCTGCGGTCGGTGTCTGCCTGTGGCCACAAAACGAGCCAGGATGCTGAGAGGGTATGCGAGATCTGGGCGAGTGCAAGTCATTAGGTACATGAGGCAACCCACCAGCTCTGCGTAGGGGCCGCTGGGCTCTACCAACTCCTCAGACACTGGAGCGGAGAGCCTGTGGTCTACAGGCAGAGGGGTGGGCTGTGCAGAGGAGAACTGAAGGCTGAACCTCTGAAGGACCTGGCGCACCAAGTGTGAATGAGTCAGGGTGATGGTGCGCGCAGCTCTGTCCCTGGAGATCTGCAAGCCAAGGTAACGGCGCAGTTCTCCAAGGTCAGTGCAGGTGTGTCTCTTCAGCAGCTCTGCCTTCACGGAGGCCAGTGCGTCCCTGTCTGCTGTGGCAAAGACCAGCACGAACGAAGAGGGAAGGGTCTGCGGAAGACGGAAAGAACTGCAGGTCAGCAAGCGTAGCACGGAGAGTGTCGTGCCACACACGGGGAGCCTGGCGCAGGCCGTAGACGGGGCGCCGCAGGAGCCACTGGGTCCCAGGAGGGAAGGTGCCAGTAAAGCCCGGAGGGCGACGTAGGTAGACCTGCTCGTGTAGACTGCCCTGAAGGAAGGCAGTGGAGAAGTCGAGGGAGTGAAGCTCGTAGTCACGCTGAGCAGCTAGGTGTAACAGAACCCGAAGAGTAGTCATCTTCGGGGTCGGAGCGAAGGTCTGGAAGAAGTCCACCCCCTCACGCTGACTGAAGCCTCTGGCCACGTAGCGCGCCTTGAACACAGGCGGCTCTCCAGGAGGGCGCTTCACCTTGAAGAGCCAGCGGCCATCGACTACGTTCACCCCAGGCGGGGGAACTGTGTCGACGAAGGTGCCGGTGGATCTCCAAGATGCCATCTCCTGCTCCATGGCAGCTATCCACTGCGAGGCCCAGGGTCCCGAGGTCGCCTCAGCGTAAGTGCGAGGGGTCGGGATGTCAAAAGCGTCTGGGTCACCCTCAGGGACTAGCAGCATGGAACAGAGATGGGGAGCAGCTTCGGAGAGGAAAGCAAGCTCGAACTAGCGGTCCTCCAGGACGTCACTGCCAAGGGCAGGAGCACCCCCGACAGACGGAGGACAGGCAGGGTCAGAGACCAGAGCGGAGGCGTAGTCAAGGCGGCGGGTAGAGGCGAAGTCAGCGGCAGCAGCGACAAGAGCGTCAAGGCACGAGGCCGGAACAGACGGGTCGGTAACGAGAGAGGCAAGGACGCGAGGAACAAGAGGACGAGCGGCATGAAGGTAGTCAGACAGCGGGGGGGGTGCAACAACAAGGGAGGAAGGAGGAGGCGACGGCAGAAGGGGAGGACGAGACGCGTGGGAACGAAGCAACATAGGGTGGGAGCGCAAGACTGGCGAGGCAGGACGAGCACGGGAGGGACGGTGAGACCAGACGTGCGACGGAGGAGTCGGGTCAGGAGACAGAGGAGGGGACACAGGAGGGGAATGAGGGGGGAGACGAGCCGGGGACGAGTCCGGCAGAGGGAAAACAGGGCCGTAGACAGGAAGAGGAGGAGACGGTCGGGGAGGAACCGACGCAGGGTCGGGGGACGGCAGGCCGAGCAGGCGAAGGGCTGACACCGGCGGGGACTGCTGCTGCGGCGGCACAACGGCGACACCGGGACCGCTAGCTGCTCCTCGGCTACCCCCGACACTCTCCACACCAGCACCCCCAGAGGGACCACCCCCAGGGCTACCGGGACGAGCACCCCCAGAGTCAGCGAACGGGTGCGGCGACGTCAGCGGCGGCGGCGGCAGCGGCGGCAACGACGGCTGCAGCGGCGGCAGAAGCGGTGGAGGAGGGGACTGGGGAGGGGACGCCAGGGGAGGGGCGGCGGACGAGGACTGCACAGGAGGGCCACCAGAGTCAGAAGACTCCTCAACCGGGTCCACCGACGGAAGGGGGGTGACGTGGGACACACCAGAGGGGGCGGGACGGGGAGGAGGAGGAGGAGGGGCAGGGACTACCGGGGAAGGAGGGACCAGGAATAGGGGGGGAGTAACCGGGGGACCATGGTGGGGGAAGCGACGGTAGTAGGAGACGGACTCGTCAAAGGTGACGTCACGAGAGTGAAAGAAGCGGTGAGACGGCGGGTGGGGGGGAACCGTACAAGTGAGGAGGACGGGGCCGGGGCAGCGGGGCCGGGCAGGTGCGACCGGGCCGGATGAGGACGACGGGGCCAGGCGGGCGCGACGGGGCCGGGCGGGCGCGACGGGGCCGGGCTGGTGCGACAGGGCCGGGCCGGGGCGACGGGGCCGGGCGAGCGCGACAGGGCCGGGCAGGGGCGACGAGGCCGGGCGGGGGCGACAGGGCCGGGCCGGTGCGACGGGGCCGGGCTGGCGCGACTGGGCCGGGCTGGTGCGACGGGGCCGGGCGGCTGCGACGGGGCCGGGCAGGGTGCGACGGGGCCGGGCGGGTGCGACGGGGCCGGGCGAGCAGGACGAGGCCGGGCTGGTGCGACAGGGCCGGGCTGGTGCGACGGGGCCGGGCGAGCGCGACGGGGGGGCCCAGGAGGGGCGCTGCAGGGGCCCAGGAGGGGCGCGACGGGGCCCAGGAGGGGCGCTACGGGGCCCAGGAGGGGCGCGACGAGGCCCAGGAGGGGCGCTACGGGGCCTGGAAGGGGCGCGACGGGGCCCAGGAGGGGCGCTACGGGGCCTGGGAGGGGCGCGACGGGACCCATGAGGGGCGCTACGGGGCCTGGGAGGGGCATGACGGGGCCCAGGAGGGGCGCTACGGGGCCGGGGAGGGGCGCGACGGGGCCCAGGAGGGGCGCTACAGGGCCCAGGAGGGGCGCTACGGAGCCTAGGAGGGGCGCGATGAGGCCCAGGAGGGGCGTTACGGGGCCTAGGAGGAGCGCGACGGGGCCCAGGAGGGGCGTTACGGGGCCTGGGAGGGGCGCGACGGGGCCTAGGAGGGGCGCTACGGGGCCTGGGAGGGGCGCGACGGGGCCCAGGAGGGGCGCTACGGGGCCTGGGAGGGGCGCGACGGGACCCAGGAGGGGCGCTACGGGGCCTGGGAGGGGCGCGACGGGGCCCAGGAGGGGCGCTACAGGGCCCAGGAGGGGCGCTACGGAGCCCAGGAGGGGCGCGACGAGTCCCAGGAGGGGCGTTACGGGGCCTAGGAGGAGCGCGACGGGGCCCAGGAGGGGCGCTACGGGGCCCAGGAGGGGCGCGACGGGGCCTGGGAGGGGCGCGACGGGGCCCGGGAAGGGTCGCGACGGGGCCCAGGGAGGGGCGCGACGGGTCCCAGGAAGGGGCGCGACGGGGCTAGGGGGGGTCGCGACGGGGCTAGGGGGGCGAGCGGAAGCGGTAGGTGGGGGGGGGATCCTACCTACGCGTGATACCATATCAAAAATTGAAGAAGTGAATGATGTTAGAGAGAGGGTACACACAGATATACCTAAGTGTTGTACCCTCTAAGGGGCTATCCTATACAGTCTATACAAACATGACAAATACACATGTTTGACACTTACAACCCTGAAACCTCCAGGGTTGGCTAGCAACAATCAGGGTTGCATTGCACTTGGAAAAAATCAACTACGAATGTACAGCTACTAGTTAAGTAAAAGCACCACTACGCCACGCCAGTCTACAAGTCCTCTATCTAGTCTAGACTTCACAATATTCCACGCCACTAGCTACACTTGACTAAAATTCTGGGCAATCCATGTTCACATCGTCTTCTGCCTTGTCATCGGACAGAAAGGGGTTGTCTTCCACTTCAGGAGGAGCCTCTCCCCCCACTCCCCCCTTCCCCTCTCCCTCATCCTCTGCCCAATCCCCCATGTAGTCGGGGACTGCCTCCTCCTCCACCCTCACTTCTGCCCCCTCAATCGCCTTCGCCTTACGCTTCCTCTCCGCTGCGGCAAACAGAACAGACTTAGCAAGGCGCCTCAGCTTCTCGCGCCAACACCCAAGGGCCTCGTCCCAGTTAGTCTCGTACTGCAGCAGGGAAATGACCATCAGCTCACTGAGGCGTGCATTGCACAACGCGCCCCGCACCCA